ATTTTAATTTTTAATTAATCTAATTTATTTTTATTTTTAAGCTACTAGTATTCTGATAGAAAGAGCATTTTCTAAAGAAACTGATCTAATTACACAAAAAAAGATATAATTTATTAGCAGAAACAATTAGAGCGTATATGTGTCTTAAATCTTGGTGACAAATTATTTTAAAGAAAATATAAAAATTCTTTATTTTATGCTTTTTTTTTAAATAAATAATTTTATATTATTTTTTTTTTATGATTTTAATTTAATAAAATATTATATAAAATTTACAATATAATATAATTTAAAATAAATTTTTATTAAAATTTGAAACTTGATTTGAATTTGACTTAACTCAAATAAATTCAAGTCAAATTTGAGTTGAACTCAAGTTGAATCAAATTGAGTCGAATTTAAAATTTATATAACTCGAATCAAATTAAATTGAAAGATTTTATAAAATAAACTTGACTCAACTCAACTTGAAAAAATGAATCAAATAGAGTTAGTCTTTAAATTCAACTCAACTCAACTCATTTAGAACTCTAATATAACTGATTTTTTATCAAATTTAATAGTAGGTTTAATACAATTATTATTATAAACTTCTTTTCATACCTTTACCTACCTATCTGATTTAAATATATAAATCTAAACTTATTAGATTATATAATTTGTTTCCATTTCTTAATCTAATTATACTTAGTTTAATATTATTTTAATCAAAATTACATTATTTTATTAGTTAAAAAAGGGTTATTTCATATAACATAAGCTTTTAAATCTATATTATGAAGATATTTATAAATAGTATTGGATAATTAGTAGTATTTAGGCTTTTGTTAAATTGACTTGTAATTTTTCAAGTGGCAAAAATCTATTCTTTAAAACAATACCTTGTAAAAAATGTTTTCTTACAAGCAGAAAAAGTTTCTGGTCAATAAGATCATTTTTTAGGATGTGAAGAACCAGTTCCTTTATAATGTTTTATTGTACTATATACAATTATACAAGAAATATTTAGTGTTATTGATATTTTTATGCCATTGAACCTGCAAGATGAGTGCTGATTATTTTCTCTCTTTGCTTATCTGTCAATTCTTTTCTTCACATCTTTTTTTGATTAATAATTACATTAATACTTAAAATAAAAACAAAAAGGACTTTTTAATATACTTTAAAAATATTGTCTTCGTGATGATCATTTTCGATAATTTATTGTATAGCTTTTAATTTTACATTATAATAAAATAAATAAATTTTATAATATACTTCTATTTAATCACAATGTTATATAATGTGACTATATAAAGGGATTCGATATATAGTCACACCTCCATATAAGCACACATCTTACATGCGTGTATGACTGTATATAAAGATGATTATTAAAACCTGATAAATTTAATCATTCTGATTTTATTATTTGATACAAATCTAAATTATTTTGACTTTTTTTTAATTTTTACCCGAACTTCATCGTAAAACTTGTTCAATTCTGAACCGAATTTTACGATCAAAATAACTATTTTCAAATTTTTAATTTCACGTTTATATTCGTTTTATTAAATAATCTCAACAAAAATTTTTTTATGATTAATGTGTCATGCATATTTTTAAGATTAACCATTTAGAAAATATTTTTCATCTGTTCGTTTTATCAGAAGATTATCATTTGATGCCGATCATCATAATATTGTGAATTAAAATTAGGTAATTGTATCACATGAAATTCGCTATAAGATTACATCGAAAAAAATCGAAAAAAAAAATTTTCAGCCCTTTTTGAAGCTAATTACGCTTCGCTTGAATGTTTTTCATCGAGTAAGTTTATATCATTTATATATATAAAACATTCGTTTAATTATTCAACATTGTTAAGTAAATAACAATAACGTTTATATATTAAGATTAACGTTGAAACGTTGTGTTGAGTATTTTAATTTATAGGTTGGTTATAATCAAAATTTTAATATAGAATTTTCGCTTTAAGATACATGTTTTGATCTAATTCGTTACAAGTTACAAATGCATGTTATATTCAAAAGTGTTAATTGCGTAATTTAATTTCGCTATTCAGGTTAAATTCAAAGAAGGCACGAAAGCTAGGAATAAATCACAGCCATTCCAATATTTTAATTAACATTATTATATATAAATATCCTTTTGTGAATAACTGAATTATGGCTCAAGAACTTCGTTTCGATGGACGCACTGTTATTGTTACTGGAGCTGGTGGTGGTGAGTTATAAAATTAAACTCATATACTAGAGATGAAAGTGGCGCAGTTTTAGATTAACGCGTAATTTACTTTTTCCATAAAGGTCTTGGACGTGCATATGCTTTAGCGTTCGCGGCCCGTGGCGCTAATGTTGTAGTTAACGACCTTGGCGCGTCTCGAGGCGGGGATGGTTCATCATCTGCTTTTGCTGATAAAGTAGTTGATGAAATTATCAAAGCTGGTGGCAAAGCAGTTTCGAATTATAATTCGGTTGAGGATGGTGATAAAATAGTTGAAACTGCAATGAAGGCATTTGGACGCGTTGATATTTTAATTAATAATGCTGGGTAATTTATTTATTTATTTGACATATAAATCCTTTCATTATTATAGACAGCTTCAAATAATAATCAACTCTTATATTATCCTAGTATTTTACGTGATAAGTCATTTGCAAGAATGACTGATTCAGATTGGGATCTTATTCAAGCTGTGCACGTCCGTGGTTCGTATAAAGTCACAAAGGCGGCTTGGGATATTTTCCGAAAACAAAAATTTGGCAGAATTATTAACACAGCATCAGCGGCTGGTATTTATGGAAACTTTGGACAAGCAAATTATAGTTCAGGTAAAATTATTGTCTTACTTTAAGGATATTGTGCCCTTTAAAATTTTTTAGTAAATAAATTTTTTGATCGTGTTACTTTACAGCTAAACTTGCTCTAGTAAGTTTTACCGAAACACTTTCAAAGGAAGGTGCAAAGGCCAACATTCATGCCAATGTAATTGCTCCAATTGCAGCATCTAGAATGACAGAATCTGTTATGCCACCAGATGTTCTTGCAGCGCTTAAGCCAGATTATGTAGCACCTCTTGTCATGTACCTATGTCATGAATCTACTGAAGAAAATGGTAGTTTATTTGAAGTTGGAGCCGGTTTCGTTGCCAAGCTAAGATGGGAACGTTCTAAAGGTGCAGTTTTCAAGGCCGATGATACTTTCTTACCTGGTACTGTCGCCGTAAAATGGAACGAAATTACAGATTTTACAAATCCTACTTATCCTACGTCAACGGGTGACGCCGATTTTGTTGGATTTCTTGAGAAGGCAAAAGCGTTGCCTTCTAATCCAAAATCCGAAGACCTTAAATTCGATGGAAAAGTTGCTATTGTCACAGGAGCTGGTGGTGGATTAGGTCGTGCATACGCTTTACTATTAGGAAAATTAGGGGCATCAGTTGTTGTAAATGACCTAGGAGTAAGTGCTCATGGTCAGGGAGCTACTTCAAGTGCAGCTGATAAAGTTGTTGAAGAAATTCGACAAGCTGGTGGTAAAGCTGTCGCCAATTATGATTCCGTAGAAGATGGTGAAAAAATTGTTGAAACCGCTATTAAAGCTTTTGGTCGTGTTGATATTATTATCAATAATGCAGGTATCCTGAGAGATAAATCTTTTGCTAGAATGACAGATCAGGACTGGGATTTGGTTCAAAGGGTCCATTTGCGTGGAACTTACAAAGTTATTAAAGCTGCATGGCCTTATCTTACAAAACAAAAATATGGTCGTATAATCAACACAGCCTCTTCTGTCGGTTTATACGGCAACTTTGGTCAAGCAAATTACAGCACGGGTTAGAAATTAATTCATTAGTATAATAATAATATTTATTTACATTTCATTTAAGCATTTCATACGAGTTTTAAACCTTTTTTTTCAATTAATTATAGCTAAGCTCGGTATTTTGGGATTCAGTAATACACTTGCTTTAGAGGGACGCAAGAGTAATATTTTTGTCAACACAATTGCACCAAATGCCGGTACTCGAATGACAGCTACGATATGGCCGCCGGATATGGTTGAGGCTTTCAAGCCTGATTATGTTGCACCATTTGTATCATTCCTCGCTCATGAAGCATGTCCCTCGACTGGAAATGTTTTTGAAGTGGGTGGTGGTTGGGTTGCTCAAGTTCGCTGGCAACGTGCTGGTGGAATTGGTTTTCCTACATCCAAAGCTCTAACTCCAGAAGATATAGCTTCAAAAATTGATATAATAACTAATTTTGATGATGGACGTGCCACCCATCCAACGACTACACAAGAAGCCCTTCAACAATTCTTTGAAAACTTTGCCAATGCGCAAAAATCTGAATCTGGACAATCTAAATCTAAAAGTAATAATAGTAAGATTGATGTGGAAGCTGCAAAGAAACGAAAATTCGAACCTCATGTCTTTGAATATAAAGAGAGAGATGTAATGCTTTATGCGTTAGGAATTGGCGCAACTCGCAAAGACTTGCAATGGGTTTATGAAAACAGTGACAATTTCTCTGTTATACCAACATTTGGTGTCATCCCAGCAATTATTCTTTCCAATACTTTGCCATTAAGTGAAGTTCTTGGCGATTTCAATGTGGTATATGTTATTCCAAATTGTATATATATTTATTACACTTAATGATATTCTAACATTAATTTGTTGTAGATGATGCTTTTACACGGTGAACAATATCTTGAGCTTAAGAAACCCATCCCTACTTCTGGAAAATTAATTTCAACACCGTATGTTATTGATATTCTTGATAAAGGGAAGGGAGTGTCGTTTATTTTCGGTATAACTACTACAGATGAAAAAGGAGAAGTTATATTTGAAAATCAGACAACTCTATTTATTCGTGGTATTGGAGGTTTTGGTGGAAAAAAGACTGGTGATGATCGTGGTGCTGCTACAGCTTCAAACGTTCCACCAAAACGCGCTCCAGATGTTGTAGTAAAGGAGAAAACAAATGAAAATCAAGCTGCTTTATATCGTTTAAGTGGAGATTATAATCCATTGCATATTGATCCTAGTATGTCCGCAATGGGAGGTTTTGATGTTCCTATTCTTCATGGAATGTGTACCTTTGGTATATCCGGTAAACATATTTTTTCTACATTTGGTAAAAATGATCCAAATACTTTCAAGAGTATCAAAGCTCGATTAGCAGCTCCTGTATTCCCCGGCGAAACACTTGAAACTCAAATGTGGAAGGTTGATATTTCTGTTTACTTGATAGGATATTTAATATATTACATAAAACTTATTTTATTCAACATTTCCTATAATGTAAATAGGATGGCGATAAGGTTATTTTCCAAACCCGTGTAGTTGAACGCGATGTCATCTGTATTGCGTCTGCTGCTGTAGAACTAAGAGGTTCTTCAGCTTCTGGGGCTAGTATGGGAGCTCCCTCAGTAACTCCAAGTGCTGGTATTTCTGTACCTGGATTCCAATCATCTTCCGTATTTGAGCAGCTCAAAGCAGGTTTGGATGCTGCTTCTCCAGCGGAACGGCAAGCACAAGTAAAGAAGGTATCGTGTGTTTTTATATATATAATTAATTATTGAATCACGAAAGTTAATTAATATTTTAATTACAATTTTATTTAATTTTTAAACTTTAAAGGTAAAAGGCTCTTTCCAATTGAATATTAAAAATGCTGAAGGCAAGGAACAATCATGGTACATAGACTTTAAGACGGGAGATGGTGCAGTTGGCATTGGACCATCACCAAAGAAAGCTGATGCAACCATTGGAGTTAGTGATGCTGATTTCATGGAACTAGCTAGTGGGAAATTGAATGCACAAAAGGCGTTTATGTCTGGAAAGCTTAAGGTGAATGTGATATAATTTTGCTTTGTTCTTATTTAATTTAACTGGTTGATTAATTAACATCATTTATCTTTAAAATAGATCAAAGGTAATATGATGCTTGCTACAAAACTTGGCGATGTTTTGGCTGGGGGAAAATCAAAATCTAAATTGTAAAAAAAAAAAAAAAAAAAAAAAAAAAAAAAAAAAAAAAAAAAAAAAAAAAAAAAAAAAAATTTTTTTAAAAAAAAAAAAAAAAAAAAAAAAAAAAAAAAAAGAGAATTTTTTAATTTGAAAACAAGCGAACGACGTTATCATGAT